GCATGATACAGAAAGTTTATAATCCAGTGCTTTGTTGGATGATTTGTGTCAGTGGTTCTGCACTTTTCCCATTAGGGGTTAAATTGATTTGGATCCTGAAGTTGTGCTTTTTCCTAAAACATTTTTAGATTTAAGTGATGGAAAGCTCAAGTATTCTTTGCAGGGTTATCCTCTTGCTTTCAAACCCCATCTGTTATTTAGGTGAGGAAAGTATCATTCAACGTTGAGAGACACAGCTGAGAGCTAACAGTCTGTTTTCCGGAGCTGTTGTTTTCAAGATATTGACAGAATGCCTTCAAACTCCTGAGTGGAGCATGAGAGATGGATTTCCTTTTAGGCAGTTGTGCTGCAGGAAACCCAAGTTATCTTTTGCAAACTGTAAGATAACAGTTAAACCAAGATAAAAAGCCTAAGTGGCTATTTATCTACAATGGCTATTACTTTTACACTAGGACATGAGTTTCCACTAAGCCTGAGCATGTTGCAAGGGACTTTCTGATCTTTTTTCCTATTGGATGAAAGCACAGGGCTGTTGTCACCAATGTAATGGCACTTATTTTGTTTTAAACAACAGTTTTTTGTACTCTCCTCTCTATGCAGCTTTGCATTAGCAACAGTAGTGGCACAGTTGTCCTTTTGTGTTCTTAAAAATCAAACTTTTCCTAAATCACTAGGAATCATCTAAGTTTTAAATTACTCAGTAAACAACTGAGATCATAAAATTACCATTTTTCTCTTCTTCAGGGACTTAAGGTCCTTTTAAATGACTGTCTTTCCATGTGACCTTAATTTAAATTTCCTCATTTAAAAAATGGGAATAAATATTATATTTCTTCAAAGACTTATTGGGAAGATTAAAAAAATAATGTATTTCTGATAGTGTATGTGTTAATTTCCCATCTCTACAAATTAATGAAACAATTTACTTAAGTGAAATCACATTGACTTTACTTCATCCCTGGATTATATGCTGATGAAACATTTTTATTTTTTTTTCTATAGCTCATCCTGCAAGTCTTTAAGCTCATAAATACAGATATTCAATATTTTTCTTCTTAGCTGGCCCACTCTTGAACAGGTCTGTGTTTTTAGTCCTGTTTTATATTTCATTTACTGTTATCACCAAACACATTTTTACAGTTTCTTTTACTATCCATGCAATGGAATATAAACTAAAAACTCTATGAGGTTCATTTATGAAGAAATAAAAGAAAGTTTTCAAATAAAATAAAATGGTAAAATCAAGATACTCACATATTTAAACTTTTCTATCTTGTGAATAAAGACAAAAATGTTTTGATAGAACATAAATATTGAAGCAATAAAACTTTAAGCTACAATTTGAATTCTAGATTGGACTTCACCTAGAAGTAATTTGGATTAGAGTGAATTGAATTTATTTGTTGACTCATAATCCATGCAAGAGACTTAGTCTGTCCTTTCCTGCAATTCGCTGATATCCCTGGAACACTTAGTCTTCTTAAGAGTGATCAGGCTCCTATGGTAACCAGTGAACCAAATGGACCCCGTTGCCAGGAAAGGTACATGAAACAAAACCAAAACAAGGCAGACAGGAACACAGGGGCTTCCCCAGTGGTTGTGCTGAGATATGTCAGGGGAAACATAAAAATACAAGTATGAAACAGCTCAGTGCGATGTTTTAATAGTGATAGTGACAATGGTAATAAAATATATATTAATGTGTGGTAAAAACTTCCCTCTCTTTATTGAGTACTGTGGTTTTGATTACATAAACATAGAATTCTATGAGAACTGACTATATGTCAGGAATTTTATTTTTATGTTCAAAAATCTTCACACCCACCTTGAAAGTATATTTACATTGGTTTTACAGGTTCTTTTGAACTCAGTTTAGTTATCAGCTATCCTTCATGCCCAGTTATGCCCCTCAGCAATATGGTCCAGTAGAAGGCATCTTCGTAGCTATTCTCTGCTGGGCTGTAGAATGAGATAAGGACCATAATCTGTCCACTGACCCATTCTAGGAGCCTAGCACAGTGCCTGGCACACAGTCATTGCTCAATAGACACTGGTGGAATAGCTGACATTTAAGAAGACTCTGGGTCAGAGAAGAGGCTTTTGCTCATGTGTAAACAATTGATGAAACACAGCTTGAGGCCTTTTTACTAAATACTCTGCCCAGGTAATATTTTTGCCAAGATCTCAGAGTACACAGACATTCCTACTTTGAGGCATTAATCACATTGCAATAATTTAAAGGAGGAATACTCTTCCTCCATTTTAAGCACGTAAAGACAAGTTCATCATCTTGCTTAAAATCACACATGTTCTGTAATAATAAATAGGTTGAGGAGAATCATTACAATAATGATATAAAATATGGCAGGGCTGGTCTGCTAACTTCCAGCTTTTAGTAAAAAGATTTTTTCAAGCTTTTCCTTACAGTTTTTGGCTGATTAAAGAAGAAGAAGAAAAGATCAGTGAACTTTTATCCTAATTCTTTGTACCTTTGTCAGGTTGCCTTCCTGTTTTCCATTAGACAACAAGCACTTTCAGGACAGTCATTTTATCTTCTCTCTGCATTTCCAGCCTACGTCGTGTACTTTCCTAATGGCAATTTAATAGATATCATTAAATGAGTTATGTCGCCATTTTCTTTATGACTGTGTGCTCCTTTGTGTCTTTCTTTTCTATCTGGTTGTGTCACTATGGGCCAGGATGTGTTGTGATCACAACTGTAAAATTTCAGGTTATGTCCCATTCTTAGTGTCAGGGAGAGCTTCACTGATCATTGTCACATAGGGGCTAAAGTTGAAGGATACTCACCGTCTTATGACTCTGCTACCTAATCACCAAGCTTCAGGGTTTACCATAGCAAGGGATGAGAAAGACTGGCAAACAATGCTCAAGCCATGAAAGCCATGGTCCAGAGTGTTGTTCATACTGCTTTGGCAAGAACCAGTCCCATGGTCACATCTAACTTCAAGGAGGCCTGGAAGTGCAATCCCTTGTCTCACTAAAAGTAAAACAGAATTAGATATAAGTGAACAAAAATAATGCCCATCACAATCATCATCTATGACCTCAGGCTTTGTAAAAGGATGAAGGCAGATGGCAGGTGGGTCACAAAAGGAAGAGAGGATCCGGGAAGCAAAATAATGGACAGAAAAGAAGAAACTCAGCTGGCAGAGGTTAGCTCCTGTTCCAAGGTGAAGTTAGAGCCCTCAAAGAAGCCAGTCTTGTCTTCTCAGTGCCTCTGTACTGACCATCTGTAAACTCATTGTAAGTTAGTTGTTGGTTTACCATTGTGTTTTGTTTATGTTCTTTTAGAACTCTCGGTTATGTTTTATTGGGGAGATAATCATTAATGGTTTTTGGATCCTCTTTTGTTCATGAGATATAAAATTCTTGCCCTCAACTTGAGGTAGGTATGACAAAGAAATGAAAATAAGCAGGAAAGGTATCTGACACCAGGATAGATTATTACTCTCTGGCTCTCTTTCTCTGTCACTAGGTCTCTTAGTGTATTCCCTCCCTGTTGGGGTTAAAAACCAAAAAAGGAAGAGCCATGGATGTCTTATTTATGACTATGTTCCAAGTCCACAGGCATCAGGCACATGGTCAACGATCAATAAATATTTATTTATTTGTGGGTTAAATGGGACAACTTGGAATGAGTTACAATTCTGATAATTAAAGTTTAATTTCCCAAAGTGAACCCTTTGGGGAACTGCAGAAATATGAAGTTACCATTCATCTGATTAGTTTTGTTTTAGGGAAGTTAAATTGTTTTTAATCTTTGGATTGGTCCTTGGCAAGGTCTTCTTAGTCATTTTCTTTCTAGTTGGTAGTTTGGAAGTCCCAGCAGTATAGCTTATGGCTGGCAGTCAATTAGTTGTGAATTTATTTTTAATCTTCAGCAAATGTCCCTTGTGAACAAGCACAGGATACATTATAATTATCATCAACTACTATCTGTTCAACTCCCCTGTGTGCCTGGCAGAGTACTTTGCAAAACAGACAAAATGTAGTTCTAGTCTAAAATATCTGACAGAACAAATAAGGTTCATTAATTTTTTGCTGTATTTAAAATAATTATTTTATGTGGGGGAGTGATTTTCTTGTTCTTTGATGAAGTGATTCATGAAGGACTAGATTTTTAAAGAAGGTTATGAAAGAATAAGGAAAAATGATAGAGCATGCAAATACCAAAAAAGAGTTCTTTGATAACAGTAAGTTTCATAATTACTAAATAATATGGTGACTGGGAGGTGATAATAGTTTATTGAGAAGAAAATAAGTGGAACATTTTGAGTAACATACTGGTACTTTTATCTAATTACTTTAGAATAGATGTGAGAAAATATTTGATAAGCAACTTATAATTCTGAGGTTGTTTTATCTAACAGGAAATAAAGAAAAAGAATGGTATATAGGTTTGTTATGTACAGAAATCCTTTCTTCATTCCCAAATTAGGAACAAACATCCCCAACCTTTGAAAATATATCTCCACTTGGTTGAAAAATAACATTTTGGTGGCCTTTACTTATATGAATAGACATTATCCAATTTAAACTTTTAAGAAAATTAATTTACTTGAGAGAAAATGGATACTTGATTTTTAAATAATTTCTTTTTTATAGCAAAACACAACTGATTTCTAATTTTTGAATAAAGCATAGATTTTGAATCCTTCAGGGCACCTGCTTATTTATTTTGTGTGTCGATATCAAACAATCTATTAGCTGATGAAAACGGTGAACTCCGGATATCATTACGCTAATGTATCTGCTTTCACAGCCTGAAAATATTTCTTGGATAAAAATCTGGGAAATATTAATCATCAGTAAAAGGAAAATTGCTTTAAAAAGTCCTCACCGATAAAGAGCTAGGTCATTACCATTCCTTTCCTTTATTTTTTTTCTCCCCTGAAAATCAGAGCCTGTTCTGGAAAATGCAGGAAAAAAAAAATACTACCCATTCATTCTTTTTCATTCTTTTTCTACTCCATCAAAAGAACAGAACCAAATTTAACTGTGTGCATCCCTTGAAGAACAGATAATCTTGGTGTTGTCTCCATGAACATTTGAAATTCCAGAAAAGCCATGAAGTGCAGATTGGACAATTACTACATAGCTCTAGTTGAACAAGAAAGGTGAGCAAAATGTTTCTCCCCTCCCAAGCCTACAAAAATAAATACTTAAAAGGGTTAGAAGCTTGTATTCCTATTCTCATTTTTAAATTAGAAACTTTGAGGTATATTTTTCTTGTGTAGTTGTTTTGTGATTTGATACAGAGCATAATGTTCTGTTATTCAGAAATGTGACTAACAAGAAGATCTGTTAGAGCAAAATAAAGAACACAGAGGCAAATGTGTGTGAAGTAGGCACATTTAAAGCTCTCCTATTAGACTTGGGTTGGCTAAGAAGTCAGCAGCTCTAATTGGTCAGGGGTGTGCTTGCTCTCATGTGTGACTGTGGGCTCTCTAATTTGTAATGGTGGAATCTTTCCACCGTACTCTATTTTTCTTTACCTTTAGACAAACAGACTGATATCCAGAGATGAGGGGCTGGAGCAGAGGAAAGACCAAGATCTACACTCCATCAAGTCTAGTGAGTTGGATTCTTAACTACTATTTCCTCACCATGTGACCTTCAATCACATCCACAGGCTCCCAGAGACCCCATTTCCTTATCTGTAAAATAGAAATAATATCTTCCTTGTATGTTTTTTTTTTTAAACAAGGATTCAATGAGACAATGTGTGATCTGTTTCTAGTAGAATGACTCAATGTCATGTCTTGGCACAATACAATCACTTGTGAGCTACATTTGCTCATTTACTCATTTATTTCATTTCTTATTTGGAAAATATGAATTGAGCCTGTTACATGCTAGATTCTGCGTCTACAAATGTGAGTGAGACAGACATGGTCCATGCTCTGAGTGAACTAGAGGCAAGCGACAGAGTGAGAGGAATAGATTTCCAAGTAACTGGCAAGCATTCAGGTACCGAAGTTTGAGAACAATTTGTATTCAAATACTGTGTAGCAATTAATACTTATTATAAATATATTCTCATTTATTTGCAGTCCACAGTGATTTTTTCCCCTCAAAAGAGAAGTAGAAACACTATGAAAGAACATGGATACCCATGAACCTTTATGTGTGCTAGCACATCACTGGTGCTGAGAGGTGTGTTGCCGATGATGATGATGACAGTGCCTTGAAACTGTGCTACAACAAAGCAGCTGTGACAATGATTATATTGAGAATTTATGCTATAAATGTCAGTTAAAGTACCACTCAAGTATTCTAGGTATTTTTTAGGTCTGTAAAGTCAATTATAGGAAAAAACCCAGGATTATATGCCTCCTTCAGAACATAGTATATGTATTATGAATGAAACTTTTGAAATAGAATCAATATTATGAAAGCACATCTTTAAAAAATGATTCTTCTTATGTAAATATTATATATATATAATATATAAATATTATACATATATATATATATACATATATATATATGAGTTTTGGGGATTTTTCGGAAGGCTTTCCAAGCTTTCAGTATACTTGTCTAAAAGGGCCAGCAGGCCACGTGTTCTTCTGGGCCTTGTATTTGTTGATCATATAAATTCTCATATTTTTTGCTGTCATTCCAAGACCATTTTGTTCTCAAAAGATGAGGCAGGCTCTTCTGGCACAGGTAATAATATATAAAATCATTTTTCTGAAGTTCACTGAGACTAACTATAAAACCATCCTTTCTATTGCCTTTTCTCTTTTAGGCTGGTATTTCATATATCCATGTAATATAATGTCAGGATATACCCTAATTTATAAAACCTATGAGCCAGGTGTCATGGTGCATGCCTGTAATCCCAGCACTTTGGAAGGCTGAGGCGGGAGGGAGCCGGTGTGGTGGTGCATGCCTATAATCTCAGCATTCTGTGAGGCTGAGGAAGAGGGATTAGAAGTTCAAGTTCAGCCTTGGAAACTTACTGACTTTCTGAGACCCTGTCTCAAACAAACAAACAAACAAACTCCTCCAAATAAAAAAAACTGTCCAAGGATTGAACAGGAGTGGTGATAGTGGATATCCTTGTCATTTTCCTGATTTTAGTGTGAAAGATTTCAGTTTTGATCATTTAGCATGATACTGGCTGTTGGTTTTTCATAGATAGCTTTTATCAGATTGAGGTAGAGAACGTCTATTCCAGTTTTTTTGTAGGGTTTTTTTCATAAATGCATGTTGGATTTTGTCAAATGCTTTTTTGGCATCTATTGAGATGATGATATGGTTTTTGTCCTTGGCTCTATTGATATAGTGTATTACATTGATTTATTTACATATGTTGAACCATTCCTGCATGCCTGGGATGAATCCCACTTGGTCAGGGTGTATGATCTTCTTTTTTTTTTTTGGTACCGGGGATCGAACTCGGGTCCTTGGACTTGCGATGCAGGTGGTAGAACCACTAAGCTAAATCCCTGGCCCATATATGATCTTCTTGATGATCTTCTGCACTCTATTTGCCAGTATCTTATTAAGGATTTTGGCATCTATGTTCATTCGTGAGATTGGCCTATAGCTCTCTTTTTCGGCTGGGTCTTTTTCTGCTTTGGGGATCAAGGTGATACTTGCTTTCAGGAATGAATTTGGGAGTATTGCTTCCCTTTCAATTTCATTGAAGAGTTTAAACAGTAGTGGCAGTAGTTCCTCTCTAAGTGTCTTGTAGAATTCAGCAGTGAAGCCATCAGGACCCTGGCTTTTCTTAGTTGATAAGTTTTTAATTACATTTTCAATTTCATTGGTTGATATTGGGTTGTTTAGAATTTTTAGGTCTTCTTTGTTCAACTTTGGTAATTCATATGTATCTAGGAATCTGTCAATTTCTTCTGTGTTGTCCATCTTATTGGCGTATAGGTTCTGGAAGTAGGTATTGATGATCCTCTGGATTTCTGCTGGGTCTGTTGTAATTTCATCCTTTTATTCCTAATTGCATGGATTTGGGCCTTTTCTTTCTTTTTTCTGATAAGATTGGCTAAGGGTTTGTCAATTTTGTTTATTGTTTTGAAGAACCAACTCTTGGCTTCATTGATTTTTTTGTATTGTTCTCTTAGTCTCCATTGCATTGATTTCTGCTCTAATCTTTATAATTTCCTCCCTTGTATGAGCTTTGGGTTTGTCCTGCTCTTCTTTTTCTAGAAGCTTGAGGTTCAACATCAGGTTGTTTAATTGGGCTCGTTCTGTTTTCCTAATATGATTATTCACTGCTATGAATTTCCCTCTTAAGACAGCTTTCTTTGCGTCCCATAGATTCTGATATGTTGTATTGTCATTGTCATTTAATTGAAGGAACTGTCTGATTTCTTCTTTAATTTCCTCTGTGACCCATTGGTTATTCAGAAGTGTGTTGTTCAGTTTCTATGTGTTTATGAAATTCTTGTGGTTTCTTTTGCTATTGATCTTCAATTTCATCACACTGTGGTCTGATAATATACAGGGGATAAGGTCAATCCCTTTGCACTTACTTGAACATGTTCTATGTGTGAGTATGTGGTCTATTTTGGAGACTGACCCTTGTGCAGCTGAAAAGAATGTGTATTCTGATTTTGTGGGGTGGAACACTCTGTAAACATCTGTTAAGTTCATATGTTCAAGAGTTTGACTGAATTCTAGTATTTCAAGGATTTAGCTCAATGCACAGGCCCTTGGTTCAATCCCAAGTACCTCAAAACAAAACCCAAAAGCAAAAACAAAAAACCCAAACCCTTTTATTGTGGAATATTTGTATGCACAAATTGGTAGAATTGTGGAATGGACCCTCATGTACCCACTGCCTAAGATCAAGAATATTCATTCACAAACAATGAAATTTAATCTGTATCCCTACCTCTTTCCATATTATTTGAAACAAGTTCTCAACATCATACAATTTCATTCATAAATATTAACTAAATATCTCTAAAAGATAAATATTCTTGGTTTTTAAGATGATAACCATTATTCTACCATATTTTCAAAGCCCGCAAATTTAAAATAATTCTTTACTATTATAAAGTTTTATAGCCAAGAACTGTTCTAATTTCCAATTGTCTTGTTGTCATTATTTAAACAGCTGTTAAATCAGGGTCCAAGTTAAGTTCATACAATGTGACTGGTTGATTTGTCTTTTACATCTTTTCTCAATTATCAGTTCTCCCTCCATCTCTATTTACTCCTTTTTCTAGTTTATTTATACAACAAACTGGATTATCTGGTATTGTTTCCTACAGCCTGGACTGTGCTTATTGCATCTCTGTGGAGTAGATTATCAAGTTCTTATGTTTGGTATTTCTCACAAGTTGATTGTTTTTTATATGAGTCTGATACAATTCTGGTTAGATTTTTTTTTTTTTTTGAGACAAGGTCTTGCTATGTAGTTCAGGCTGACCTTAAACTCACTATGTAGCCCAGGTTAGCCTCAAACTCTTGGTGATCCTTCTGCCTCAGCCTCCCAAATGCTGAGATTACAGGCATGCACCACCATGTCCCATTCCTAGATTTTTTTTTGACATTACTATTTCAGGAGCATGCTGTGATGTTCCCTCAGGAGGCATGGAATGGAGGGTCGGCTCCCTCTCTTTTTATGATATCAGCAGCCACTGGTGTTGAATTAATGAACCATTGATTCATTACAATTTGTAAGGTTGTGATATTCTAATTCTATGATTTTTATTCACTTTTCCGTGGAAACTTTCATACAGTGGCACTTTCCTTTAGTTAATATTTAGATAGTTCAGTGTAAGAAAACCTTATTTTTATGAGAAAATGAAAAAATGGAAACAAAGTCTTTGCAAATAGGGAGGGACAGAGGGGTGGAAAGGAGGGCAGGAGAAGGGGGAAAAAATAAGAACCAAGGGAGATTATGTAAAGGTGAAAATTTCCAATGATGAATGTCAGTATACTGTATACCTAAAATGTACCAATAAAATAAAATAAAAAGAATAGCAAAACAAAACTTACTTTTTGTCTTTATATAGCAGTAACTAAATTATGCTCCATGAATTTAAACATATATGTTATTATTTTTTTTGTATCTTTTAAAGTTATGAATACTTGATTTGTTCTAGTTTTGTGAAGAAGAGCCTTTATAAGTTGACTCAATTTTGCTGACATGAGCCCAGTGGTCTATGATAGTTTCCTCAGTCTTGTTTGACAAAATGCTCTTATTTTATGCTGAATATTTCCTGATCCAGTGCTTTGAATTTTGAGAAAGATGTTGGAGACCACAGTTTGGATCTAACTATGCTAATTTATACATATACACTTATGTATATATGTGTGTACATATATATAATCAGAAAAACAGAGAAAGATAAATTATATTATGAGTTCATACTGATATTTCCAGTTCAAATTTAGGAACAATTTTAAATTTAATTTTTTCTACCTTATACCTCTATCTCCTTTTTTGCATGCTTAGAATCTTGGTTCTCAAGGTCATCGAGAATGACTAACATATTGCATTAATTTTCATTTGTTTTATTCTAAAATACTTACATAGCAGTCTAAGATTAGTAATCTTGACACCACCATCACACTGAGGTCACCTGGAACTAGTACTT